GCGGATTTGCGGTTTGGTTATGCTCCCCCTCGCGCCCCGCGTGGGCTTCGTGTTTCCCGGGGGCCCCCCCCCCCCCCCCCGTCTAATTGTTTTGCATTTGTCAGGAATTGGTTCTGACGTTTTGGCCCTACATATACAAATCATTGGAGATTGAATGGTTTGGCAGTTTCAAAACAAATTTGCTGAAAGTCATCATCATTTCACCATATCTGGCCAGCCTGTCTTGATGTCATGCACAGCAAATCCCCTTCTTCGAGGAACCCCTCATCCAGTACATCATTTTCCCAAATTGACTCTGAACTGCAAGTCTCCACTGGTCGGCAGCTCAAGGGCTGCTGCGCTAGGCAAACGCCGAACATGGATTGTTTGCAGGAAGTTGACCATGCATACATACATTGACCACAACCATCACATGCCCTGTTCTCAGTACCCTGGACCAGTGCTGGACCTGGCAGCAAAGAATGCGACTTGAGATTGCTGGTATCAGCTGAGTGAGGTCATGCAAAAGGATTCTCAACTACTTCCAAATTTATTCATTCTCCGCCCACGGAAAAGTAAACTGATTAAATCCCTCTACAAACTCAACCAACCCCCAATGAGATGGGAATCTCACACATTTTTACACATCTATTACTATTATTTTATTCCGACGTTTGGCATTTATTCGACTGCTATTTGAGGTTGTAGGGCTGCATTTTCTTTGCTTAATGGCTGGGATTGTGGGATTTTGGTTTGCATGGCAGAATCCAAGATGCTCAAAGGGAATTGATGCATATGCATTCTTTGAGTTGCCCTGCTGAGTGCCGAGTTTGAACTTGATTGCTCAAGTATTCACGCCCTTGTTTAAAGTTTTTTTGTACCATAAAATATGTAGCTATGGACCCCCTTGTGAAAGTCAATCAATCATGACTGGAGATCAAAGAATGGCAACACATTGAACAAATGCATATGAAGCGACAGATTCTGTCTATCTCCTAGGTTAAGTCTGATTGCCATTGGACGGTCAAGTCAGCCTCCAGAGCCGTTTTAGTGGGGTTGCGTGGGGGGGTGTATGGCTACATATTTTATGGAACAAAAAAATCCCACATCTTGTTCGCAAATCACCAAAATTCCTTCATCTGACAATAGCCCTATAAGGTGTTCATTAAAGTTGGCTCCTTCCCATCACTGACTTCATAAATTTACTTATAGAAGATGCCTTAAACTTGTCCCATAAACTTTTTCAACCATCTCAATTTGCATATGCCCCCACGATCCCCTCTGCCCCTCCAACACATCCACCATGGCCACTGCATGATCTGCCCTTTGCACTTGTTCTATTTTTGGTCTGTACTGCTGCCTGGCCCCATTTTTTGATGTCCAGGCAAATCATAGCGAACCCACACACAAACCATGAGCAAACCACCTTGTTTCCTGACAACTCTGAGAACTCATCATCTAGGGTTCAGGACACATTCCCATTTGAGAATTGATGCGAAGTTTCGTGATTTTTTGCCTTTTGTTGCACCAAAATAACTTCAATTTTTCAAAGTATATGATAATTGTTAAAAAAGCTCATGGTGGACAGGCAGCTCAATCACAATCTTCATCATTGAGTTGTGCTCCAAGAAAGAAACCAATTCGAGAAATATAATTATTTCCCCAAATCTGATCAGTGCAATCAATGCATGCATATCACTTAAGTCACCTCACCGAGTTTCAGCTGAATCGCTTTTGAACTCATGCGCCCATCGCTACTTAAAGTTCTTTAAAAAATTTAGCGATCATTATCACTAATTACCGAAATTCATTTATCCGACAATAGCTCAGTTGGAAGAGCATCTGACTGTAACGTTACTGATATCAGGAGGTCCCCGGTTCGAACCCGGGTTGTCGGACACCATTCGAAAGTGTTAGCGTTTTCGGGATGGTTCCTGGGATGCGCGGCAGTTTTGCACTGGGATATGGGCGAAGTCCTTGAAGCGTTTGTTGACCGTTTCGTGGCGAGCTCCCATCTCCTGCATACGACGGTTGTGCTTTCTGATTTCGGGAGTTCCTCCTTGCAGTTTTGTGATAATTCGATCGTTGCTGCAATACCCCGAATCTGCTGCGACACGCTCGCCCTCCTCCAGCATGTGCAGAAGCGATGTGCGAACCATTTTAAGGTCAGTGTTGGCTCCGCAGGGAACTCCGCTCGAGACATGGACAATCTTGGAGCACCCGATGGCAGTTGCGACTTGGAACTGATGCCCGGCATAGTGGTTGCTCTTGTGTCTGAAAAGCGCGCGGGCCATGGGAGGCTCTTCTCGGATGATGATGTCAATGCAGTCCACATAGCAGAACAGTGCAATGCAATCCCAGTCGATTGTGTGATCCTAAAGGAGGGCATGCAGGAGATGAGTGGGAGAAAGGGGGGTGGTTATACGCCAAACACCCGCCCTTTGATTTTAGAATACGATCCTCGCAAGGTTCCTACCGCATCCTCTGCAACTGGCAACAAGCGAGCAAAGACCAGCAGTGCTGGTACCCCCTCGTCATTGAGTTGCCCGAGGCCATCGACTCTGGGGAGCTGTACCGACGCGAGATTTTCAAAACAAGGGAAACAATGGCGTTTGCCGAAGATGGTGAAGAGGAAGGCTTGGTTTTCATCAAAGACAAAGTTAGTTTGTTGGTGGTTCATTTGGTATCTGGTCAAAACCTGAACAGAACTTCTGCTTCGTTTTAAGTCTGTCATTAAAATCAATATGATACCAACATTTAATTTACATTTATTTAGTCTATTTTTTACGTTTTCGCGACTCTTCCAGTATTGGTTCTGGGCAGTCAAATGGGCACTGGCAGCTGGATCTCCAGGGCAGGATGTGGAATAACATGAGGTGACATACTCCAATGATCTTACTTTCCGATATTATCTAGCAGGACATCCTTTTTAACAAGGGTTAGCTATATACAATGCCCTGATCCAGCCTAAATCTTCTTCAAACTTTACTGTATTGACTCCACAATACACTGATTTTATCCCTTCTGAAATGAAAGCCTATTGGAACAATTGTACCCAATGATAACCCTCTCTTGTACACTTCCTTTGCTGCGCTTTTTTATGCCAGTTACTAATTTTGGGGATGCTCAGCTCATGTCTCCATTAGCCTCCCTCTCTAGTTTTAACATCCTTCCTTCTTCCTCTTTCCGACTCCCTTGTAGGGTTTAGTCACATGTGTCCCTTGCAGGTTTGTTACTGCATTGTCAAGTGCACTTGTGGGTTGGGTAGATATCTTGTATGGTGATCCCCCAATCATCTGCCTCATTCCCAGTCAGTGTTGCTGCCTGGCATTTTTTTTGATTCCAGACCAATTGAAGCAAACCCAAGCACACACGAACCATGAGAAAACTACCCTTTTGCCCAAAAACTCCATGAAATCATCAACCAGGGGTCTGGGATGCAGTCCTACAATGTCATTCAAAGACCATCCAACAATTTTAGTCTGAAACTCCGAATTGTGTTTGAAAATAAACCCCTCATCTCCACCCGTTTCATATGAATCTGAAAGCTCATAAATGATGCTTTTAAAGAATTGTTTATTGAGAGGTATGCTAAGTTTCGTGATTTTGAGCCTTTGGTTGCACCCTCACTGCCCCCCCATTGCAAGAAGCATTCAGATTGCAGCAAAACTGCTGGACAGCAGCACAGGCCAGGAATATGGTGGGCATGACTCACAAAAAGGACAGATCATGCAGTTACCATGGTGGCAGATGTGTTGGAGGGGCAGGGGGCCGCTCAAAAGAACTTTGATTTTGCTTTGATTTTGCTTCGATTTTGATAGTCGAAAAACTTCATTGCTGCAAGTGCTGTCAGCATCTCATCGAAAACACAAAATCTATTTTATTCTTTTCACTTTGCCAACAATTTGAGAGCAGCTGCATTCTGCAATCCTGTCTCATTCACCATGGACCCAAAAACACTCAATGGAGACCCATCTTGTCCATCCCTGCTGAGCAAATTTGCGGGAGAGTCAAATTCAACTACTCGACCAGCATCCAACACCACTGTTTTTCCCATTGATTAGCAGAAAGTATAAAAGAGGATACTAAGATTGACTTACAGATTCTGTTAGAATCAATGACTGTGTTCAAGCGATGGGCAATCTAGTTCCTTGTTCAACATCCAGACCAATGAAGCACCCACCCATTGAAACACTTACAGTGAAGATTGTGGCCTCCTTCATTTTCTCCCTGAGTGTTTTTTGAATTTGGTGGTCTGTCTCAAGGTCAACATTCGCAGTGCTGTGTTGGAGGAGTCAGTGCAGCAGTGAGAACCCCAGCCAATTTCAGAGCACAAATACCATTCATCCAAGACAACAACTGCTGATTTTCTCAAAATTGCACGAGCCAAACACATGAGCTGCCTCTGGCCCACCTAAAACACAGAAAGCAGGGAAAATTAGCCTTGTGATCAAAAACACAGTGAAATCAGAACTCACAGAAAGATTCTCCCCTCCTGTATTCACAGCGGCATCCAGCCCCCCTTCCATCTCCACAACAGCTTTCCGTAATCCACTACTTTCCAAAGCAGCCCACAGTGCAAAATCATCATGTTCATGGAATGGATCAAGATTCGATCTCACTGAGCCAGAAAAGAGAATGGGATCTTGAGGAATGATCGAAAGTCGAGATCGGAGGTCCTTGAGTCCAATGGAGGAAGTGGGGATGCCATCGATAATGATTTGCCCAGATGTTGGTTCAATCATTCGAAAGAGAGAGAGCATGAGGGAGGATTTCCCACTTCCAGTTCGTCCAACAACCCCAATCTGGAAAAACAAAAATAAATATTCAACTGACATTCAACACCAGTCAGAGGATCAAACAAAATATTACACACCTTTTCAAACTTTTTGGTAATAAAAGAAACCTCCCTCAGCACCAACGGCAAATCTGGTTGATACCTCATGGAGACATTTTGAAACTCAGTGATTCCAGAATGTGGCCAATGGGGAGGTGGCCTGTTGTCCTCAATCACACCAGCAGCTTCAATCGGGACTTTGGTGGCATAGTAGTACATTCTCTCAATGCTCACAAGCTGCACCTCGGCTTCTGTGTATTGTCGAATGCACATTTGCAGAAGTTGCGTGGTTTGGAGCACATAGGAGAGTGCCAGACCAATCAAAGCAGGAGAGATGGAAGTCTGGAGGTGAACCAAAAAAATAAACAATCTGCCTCAAATAGGTAGGTTGCAAAAATAGAAATGTGAACTCACTCTCGAGCTGACACCAAAAATCGAAGTCACAAGCACCAAAGCATTGCCAATATACTCCAACCTCATCCCCAACCAACGCGCACCAATCTGTTGCAGGTAATATGGCGTATTGTTTTGATTGATCAATGCGTCCGTTTTTTTGATGAACCGGCTCTGCTCGCGATACGCGCGAATTGTGTTGACACCAGTCATAGATTCATTGATGTGAGAATAGAGCGGGGACTGGGTTCAAAAGAAAAAATCGTCAGAGTCTTCAAGTACAGCTGTCTTGCTGAGAGAAATAAAAACTCAACTCTTGTCAAGGCATCCAATCGCTTCAACTCCCTCGCCGTTGCCCGATACATGGCCTGCACAAAGTAATACGCCCCCATCAAAGGAACCAACGCGACCAGAAACCACCCACTTGTTGCATATGACACCAAACAAAAGGTCGACAAGGCCATCCCGAACGATATGAAAAACATCCTCACGGCATCTGGCAGCGTGTTGTCAATCACGTCTTGGTCCCGTGAGAATCGGTTCAGTACTCTCCCGAGCGGGTTGGTGTCAAAGAAGGAAGAGGGGGTGTGGATCACGCGGTGGAGGGCGGATTGGTGTAAAGATTTTGCGGCAACAGTTCCTCCCACTGCGACAAGGACAGAGAACGTGATAATGGAGACGGATTGGAAGACTCCGAGGCCAAAGTATGTCCACATGTACTGCGAGTTGGTGAGACCTAAGCTGAAGTCTGACCAATAAACGAGCCACAAGTCCGTCGCGATTCGGGCTCCTTGTGATAACACGAGAAGCAGCACGAGGAGACCAACGACACCCCATCCACCCATGGCGACAGCAAAAGAAACAAACACGGAAGTCTTGACGGCGCCAGTTTCGCGGTCCTCAGCAGTGACTAGATCCTTCCCACCAGAGTTTCCGGGTTGGGTCTTGATTTCGGAAGATTCCTTGGTTGATTTCGCCACCACGTCTGGCTGGTTGATTGGTGTGACTGCATCGGCATCTTCGTCGGCGACGCCTCCGTAGCTGACCATGAGCTTCGAAAACTCGCCACCCGCGGCCATAAGGTCCGTGTAGGTTCCATACTCGGAAACACTTCCCTTTTTCATCGTGATGACGACGTCGCACTGAGGAACAAAATGGAGCTACGCGTGCACAGGAAAAATCAGCATCAAAGAACCAAGAAACAAGAAGAGCAGAGCAAAACAGAAATCACCCACCTGATGTGTCACCAACAGCCTCGTTTTACGCTTCAACGCCCCACAAACACACTGCTCAAACAAAAACTTTCCCACATGCGCATCCACCGCACTCAATACATCATCCAACAACACAATCTGACTGTCGAAATACACCAACCGCGCCAAACTCACTCTCGACTTTTGACCCCCTGAAAGAGTGATCCCGCGTTCCCCAATCTCGGCCATATCGCCGCCACTCAACACCTCCAAGTCGCGTCTTAATGCACACACTTGAATCGCGTAATCATACCGCTCTTGATCAAACGGCAACCCAAACAAAATATTGTCCCGCAGCGTCGCGTTCATGATCCAAGGCTGTTGAGGTACAAGCCCCACCGACCCATTGAACGTGACCTTCGCATCCGAATGCACAGGTTTGAGTTGTCCACAAATTGCACCAAGAAGACTCGAC